TTATAGTAGTATATATATATATATATATATATATATATATATATATATATATATATATAAATTTTAGTATATATGATATATGAATTATATATACATACACATATATATATATATATATATATATATAAATAATTATAATTAAATTTTCTCATTGTAAATACATTGTAAGTACATTGAATTACGATGCCAAAAGTGAAAGATTGCAATTTTTCTGGCATAGAGATAGTTCTATAGAGCTGCAGCATAAACGATTAGGAACATTAAAAAATAGATTTTAAAGAATAGCTCAAGCAATACAAGATTTTTTTATTTTATATACGTATTACATTTTTTTATTTATTACAGACAACCATTTAATTTTCTGACGGAAAAAGTAGTAGAGATGACATGCCAATGTTTAATGGCGCAAGCCGATGAAGCAGAACGTAATATGTTCGACGATGAAACGTCCCAACGTCTTATCATTGAGGAATTTGGTCGATGTTTAAAGGAGATCATCGAGTCAGCGCACAAAGCTGAAGCTACTTAGCAGGTGCATTTGCGATATTCGCATTGCTATTTTTATTTGTCATTAATCATTATAAACAAATGAATATAAATAAAGATAATATAATGTGTGTTGCTATACCAAAGACGTTATATATTATACAAGATGCAAGTTGGAATTTTTCAAATTCAAGTTGTCCCCTTTAAGCGCCTTTGAGAGAATCTATGACGAATAACTCTATACATGAATTTGTTTCCGAGTGATATATAGGAATGATGGGCTAAAAATGAGCAAATTGTTTTCCTCAATTTTTGATCGAACGAAAAATGGTATTAATATCATTATAATTTGCATCCATTTAAAATGATAAATGCTTTTTTTCTAAAAATGAGTACTTTTCAAGTACTTCAGTTTTTCAATTTCAAGCAAAGCAAAAGATTTGCTATTGATTTGTTGGTAAATGAATATTTTTTATTTGGAACATTTTTTAAAGGTAGTATGTCACACATTAATAAATAAGAAGCGATCACCTCACCTCACAGTTCAACTGCTTGATCGTCATTAGCATTTAATAAATTTATGCGGTGTTCAAAGAAAGACGATAAAGCATTTCGCGAATTTATTGTCAATTTATCAATTGCATTTCGTATATTTTTAGAAATAAGTCGTTATATTTGCGAAATAATATATATTAAATGCTAAAATTAAAATAGTTATAGTTAATAAAAAAAGTTTCCGCAATGAAACTTATAATTATCTTATTTCTTATGTAGCTTCTTTTACAATTTATTTAATCACAGAAAAGAAGTGCCTATAATAGTTTAAATCACAGTTGTTACAGCATGTATCTCAACTAATAATAATAGACATATATAAAAGTGATTTGTATATTTAAAAAATATAGAAAACATAATAATATTAACATTATTACCATAGTAATAATATTAATATTAACGTTACTAATATATGATACAACAACTGCGACTTCAGCTCTTGTAGGATTTTCCTTTCCTTCTATAATTCCATACGGGGTTAATAAAATTCCACATTTTTTGTGGTACAAATTTTGGATAAAATCCATGTTAGTGATAAAAATTGATATTTTCCGGAAAAAACGGATCTTTTTTTAATTAAAAACAGTAAAATAAATAGAAAATATTTTGATTGATATTTTAATTTACAGGTAGCTTGAGGTAGAGTTGTGCATTTAAATTATAATAATCTACATCTATGTGTAGGCAACAAACAATGTATATGATGTCATCTATGTAAACGACGAATAATCTATGACTATTGTGCAAAATTGAATTGGAAACATTTTTTGTGTTAAATATTCCTGTTTATATTTCAAAATTTATGAACTAGAAATTTAATTTATAATAACTCGTTACAATGCTACGAAAGTTGAATAAAGTTGTTCTCTGATTACTCTGGTTATTTTTAACTTCGTTGGTATCTATCAATATATCATAAAAACGAAATTTTATGCAATTTCTTTACTTTTTTTAAAAAATGCATTATGATCAGTACTCACAGATATATATATGTATATATGTATATATATGTATATGTATATTAAACTGTTATATAATTTTTATATATATATATATATATATTATATATATATATATATATATATATATAATATTTATATATTAATTTTTTTATTGTATATATAGATACATACAATTTACAAGTTTAGTTTATATAGTTGTCTACAGGTACATAAAAAAAAAAGATTATGAAAATATCACGTAGACAAGACTGCACGTAAACAATCCATGTAGATATAATCTTGAAATCTATAGCACAACTCTGACTTGAAGTGCCGTATAATCCTAATTCTGTACATAAAAATGTATGCGTAGTAGTACTAGTAGTGCTAAATTGTGAGTAACATTGATAAATAATAAAGAATTGGAATACAAAAATGTTTTAGAAAAGCAATTTTCTGAAGCTGTTATATCTATTAACTTATGTGATGCATTTACAATATAAAAATTCACAGTACAAAATTGTCCAAAAAACAAGAAATTGCATGAAATTATGCAACAGAATTATCACTTGATTTTTTACTATTATATTCTTTCAAGCAGAGGCTAAATCATTCCAAAATCATTCTTTTCTAAGAAAGCTAAAAATATGAATGTCAGAACATAATGGAAAGCATTATGTAAAAATGATAATTTCTCTGCAGATTTCATTAATATTGTATATAAAACTTATATAACTGTCCAGTAAATTCAATGTCAATTGAATGTTTTCCAATTTAGGCTTTATTCAAAATAAAATCTGTAATACATTAGGAATTGACGTAACAAAATTAAACTTTTGTTACAAGATATTGAATGGTAAATACGAACCAAATCAATACTGATAAAAATTTTTAATTCAGTATTAGTTTTTCTAATTAAATTTTAGTATAAAATTTAGTATACAAATTAATAAAATTTAAAGTTTGTTTTAAAATATTCATTTAAAATGTGTTTTATATATTAATTTGAATTTAAACAAATTTTTATAATATTTTGTTACTATTGGTTTATTTTATTTTTTTTTTAACCAATGATGAGTAAAGATTTAATTGAAACAAAAATATTTTGTGCATAAATATATTTAAAAAATATATATATTAACTGCTTATATAATTTTTGCCAGTTTATTTTATTAGAGAAAGTCTGATAAAATCTAGAATTTATTATAGTTTTTTCCACTCACTGGATTTTTTTCAGCTAACCCTGATTCCATATTAAAGAGTATATATTATTTACAAAATGCACTTTATTTAATTGTGGATATTAGATTTTTTAATAACATATGCATCAAATAGAATTCTTTCTTCATAAATATTTGATATTATAATATATATTTCATTATTTATTTATACTATTAAAGTTTAATTCATCCTTAGTTCTTAATAGTTTATAACTTAGATTATCAACAGCTCAATCATTTTGATTACAAAAGAAAATTTGTTATATTTGAAGCATTCTGTATTATACATACATACACACACACACACACACACACACACCACACACGTGGTGTGTGTGTGTGTGTGTGTGTATTTTTCAAATTAAAACACTACGATTGAAAAAATAAAATTACAATTTATATAAAAATATTTATATGCATTTACGATTAAAATGGACACTTCACATCAAAGGAACTTTTCTTGCTCGTTTCACAATGTATATTTTTGTTTAAATTGTGCTCTATGAAATTCATCTACTTAAGAAACGATCCGTGTATTCTCTTTGTTTTCTTTTTCTTTTTATCTCTTTTGACAGTATTATAAAAAAATATTAACTTATTGCAATCTATGTTCGATATTTTAAATGTGAATTATTACTGTAATGTAACAATATAGTTTGCAAAGTGTTAATTCTGGAAATATCAAGTTGAGGAGTAAGATATTTTTAATTGCACATGATATGCCATGAACAACACGTGTGTGTGTATATATATATATATATATATATATATATTAT